ATATGTTCAATTGGGCTGAATTTTGGATATGTTATACTAGACACCCAATTGAACAACTTCTATGAAGAATGTCTCCTCATCCGAGTTGTGCAGATTGCTGAAATGAGACCTGCAAGGTGACTTACGAAACTGGACTGACAAGAAGTGTGGCCCAACTTTGGTTTTGTCTTTAAGCTCTTGCTCTTATCCCAATCAGCCCAAACATGCATGGATTGAATCATTTCCTATCCAAAGTCATCATTGTTACCTAAATGTCAATTAACTGAAAGATAAACACAAAAAGGATTAAAAGCACAAGTTTAACTCAAAAACATAACCAAATCATAAGTTAGAAGGGTACAAAATGATATACAATTATGAACCGATCAGTTACACCTCCACATAACACGTTAACTTGTAAATAGGGGTAGTTTTGGAATATGAAAAATATAATAAATCAGATTTTAAGCTAGATTAGGTAACTTGCTTACTTGGATCCCAGTCAGCGGGTTTTACTTGAAAAAATTGGGTATTTTAAATAGAAAAATAAAGGAAAGGGTTGTAGATGATTACAAATGAATTTTATGGGTCTAAGCTCAATTTACTACAAACTAGCAAGGAAAAAATATAAAGTAGGAATACGTAGCGTCGTGAATATTAAAAACCGATACAATTCAAATATTTATAACTCAGCCTATGAGCTGAGGCCCAACCCACAAAGCAAACTACCAATCAGTTCACTAATTTATACACTAACACGCCATCCAGTCAGTCAAGTGCCATCTATGCTATGCGTCCGTTCCTTTGCAGATTTAATTTTCAGAATTTTATGTTTTTGTTTTGTTAAAGGATGGTATTTATCTAAGTGACCTGGTTAATGTAATATTGGTACTAGTTTTCATGTGTGTGTAGGTGGTGGTTTGTGCTAAAATAAAATTAAAACCAGTTCATTTCCTAATGACACTTGCATGCTTATTTTCTTCTGGCTAATCATAGAAATAAAGTTAATTTGTTTGATAAAATATAGAATATTTTAATTTTAATTTGTCTTAGCCAAAATGGCCAACAAAGCGTCGAGCTACAACACTTTTCTTCATCATTAAGCTCCAACATCATCATTTAGCTTTTTTAATATTATTTCCTTATTTTCTTTATATGGGCTCCACCACTTTCTTTACAACACCCAATTAATTGTCCATAACACTTTGATGAAGTTGGAAGGAACTAGTCTGTTTTCGGTGCTCATCTCATGGAGAAGTCTAAGTCGTTTCCTCTTGTCAATGACGTTGTTGCTGGTGCTGCTGCGGTACACTTCTGTAGGTGCAGCAGCACAAACCAACATCACCACGGACCAGTCTGCTCTTCTTGCTCTGAAATCCCATATCAGTAGTGACCCAGACAACATCTTGGTCAACTGGTCAACCATCACCCCAGTTTGTAATTGGGTTGGCGTTACTTGTGGTGCTCGCCACTTGAGAGTTTCAGTCCTAAACCTCTCTTATATGGGACTCACCGGCATCATTCCACCGCACCTCGGCAACCTCTCATTTCTTATTGAGCTGCTTTTCAAAAACAACAGTTTCCATGGCACCTTGCCCCATGAATTGTCTCATTTACATCGCCTCAAGTTGATTAGCTTCGCATTCAACAATTTTATGGGATCCATTCCATTGTGGTTTGGGTCCTTCCCTAAACTTCAAAGCTTCAGTTTGTGGGGCAATCAATTTTCAGGTTCTATACCCACGACCATCTTCAACTTATCTACATTGCAAGAGATTGATCTAGAGTACAACCAACTATCAGGTACGCATGCATATGTATCAACAACCTATCTACGAATCTACTGTTGATATGATTACGTTTTAGCATATTTTTATTAATTTATAATATAAGCTAAACTATCCTTGTTTCTTCTTTTTTCAATAGAAACTTAAGCTTGTCCTATTAAACTTTATTTTCTTACTTACAGCCCATCATATAGCAAAAATAACTCCCTTGAATAGATTATGTCTTTAATTTTTAATTTTGAATAGATTATGTATTTGAAAGTTTGTATAAAAATTAAACTTATTTATAATTTCGACCTCTATTCTTTACCTCGAATTTCAAATTTTCCCATAAATATGCACTTGGGTCAATGTTCATTTCATCACCCTAATTTCGTGTCCCATGTTCCTATTTTTTAAAATTAGAGTCCCACATTCTTTATTGCATCAATTTTCTTAATAAAATTGTTAACTTGTTGACGTGACATGTGCATTTTAGTAATTTTAGTTATTAAAAAAATTAAAATTGAAATTAACAAGACATTTATATTCATTAAATTTATTTTTTGAAAAACTGCATTTGCTTAAAATTAAATTTATTTAAAAAATTTAATTAAAAAATGTTTAAATATTTGAAGCCACAGCCACAGCTGCCACCCCTCAAGCAACCATTGCCTTCTGCACCCAATCGCACCTCGCATCCTGTTGTTTCGGCACCTGCTGTTTCATTCCAGCTTTGGTGCTTTTTATTTTCCTTCACTTCTCTCTCTAGCCACCTTCCCTAAGCATAAAAACTACATTGATGAAATGAAACTAGAGACAACATTTGGGCTATAAATAATTAAAACTCATTGAGTGTCGGATATGGACATAGATTGTAAATAATGAGTAATACATGGCCAAAAATTAATCCTACATGGGATTCGCTCGATTTTTTTTTGGGCTGCAGTTGTAGTAAGTACATGAATTTGTGTCTGCACTATTTGATTTGCAAGAAATTAGTTTAGATTATTTTAAATGTTTTCTGAGACTTTGGCATGCATAGCAGGAGGGATACCAAGGAAAATTGGGAACTTAACAATGCTGAAGCGGATATACCTGAGCCACAACAAATTCACCGGTATATTGTTGCATTTCATTGTATGCATAAAATTAAATAGCCTAATTATATAGTTTGATATATATATATATATGTATATCTTGTTGATTTTTCAGAAATTCCAAACGAGATCGGCTTTTTAGATCAGGTGGAGCATTTGTTCGTTCAAGTGAATGCCCTAAAAGGGCATGTTCCTGCCAGTCTCTTCAACATGTCCTCTTTGACTATTTTGACTCTATATGGAAACAGTTTGAGTGGTGGTCTTCCAGATAATATATGCCAGCATCTTCCTAGTCTTCAGAAAGCTAATTTTGGCCGCAACCAGTTTGATGGTCCACTTCCATCCAAATTGTGGCATTGCAAACATCTTCTTGCATTAAGAATGTCTGTAAACAATTTCAGTGGAAGCATACCCAAATATATTGGCAACTTAACCCAAGTAACAACGATTTATCTTGACAACAACAATTTGACAGGTAATTGATATTTCATTATGTTCTTGACGACAACATCATTTATCATTATTTAACTATTTTGTACAAGGTCAACAGACAAAAAAGAGAACGAAAACCCCTTCAGCCCTGTTCACTTCTCTTGGGCTACAAATTGTATAGAATAAAATATAGATTGAATTGCCTAATAAACGTTAACATTGTATAGAAGTCAATATTGTTTTCACGTAACCTAATGCGCTACAATGTTGTGAAATTGTGGCAGGCACTATACCAAACGAGATCGGTGATCTTCAAAATTTAGAGGCTTTATCAATCCAATTCAACAATCTACATGGCCTCATCCCAGCCTCAATCTTCAATATCTCCACAATAACAGACCTCGGACTTGGTTTTAATATGCTATCAGGTAGCCTCCCAGCAAACATAGGCCTTGGGGCTCCAAACCTACAAGGCCTTTATCTATCAGGATCTGACCTCAGCGGAGTAATCCCCAACCTCTCCAATGCTTCTATGCTCATGAAGCTAGAGTTGAACTACAACTCATTTACAGGGTTTATTCCAAGCACGCTCTGTGCCTTGACAAACCTTCAGGGGCTTAGGTTATCAAGGAATAATTTGGCGATTGATACTTCGACTCTCTCTTGTTTGGCTAATCTTGCAAATTTGAGAACACTGGGGTTGGGATATAATCCTTTAAATGTCAGACTTGATGATTCCTTTCGGAATTGCTCTACATTGTCGCGGCTTCAATATATTAAATTATCCAATTGCAACATGAGGGGTAACATTCCCATTGGTATTAGCAACATTAGCGGCTTGGTAATTTTATCCCTGGATGGCAATCAATTGAGTGGATCAATTCCAACTTCACTGGGAAGACTAGGGAATCTCCAAGGTTTGTACTTGAGTTACAACAAATTGCAAGGGTACATCCCATATGAACTTTGTCAACTAGATAACCTAGTTGAATTGGTTTTGCTTGGTAATAAGCTCTCTGGTTCTATACCTTCCTGTTTGGGTAATCTAGCCGCATCTCTAAGAACTCTATCACTGGAGTCCAATTCGTTGAGTTCCACAATACCATCAACTTTTTGGAATCTTGTTCATATCTTGCATGTCAACTTGTCATCCAATTCTCTAATTGGATCTCTCTCACAAGATATTGGAAACTTGAAAGTTGTGATAGATGTAGATTTATCAAATAACCATTTATCTGGTGTTATACCAAGCACCATTGGCGGTCTTCAGGATCTGGTTATTCTTTCCTTGGCAAGTAATAATTTGGAAGGACCTATTCCAAGTTCATTTCACGACTTGCTAAGCCTGAAACTCTTGGATTTATCCAGAAACAATCTGTCTGGAGTGATTTCCCAGTCTTTAGAAGCTCTGTCACTTCTCAAGTATCTGGATTTGTCTTTCAACAGGCTCCAAGGACAAATTCCAACTGGTGGCCCGTTTCAAAACTTCTCTGCTCAATCATTTGTCTCAAACAGTGCACTATGTGGTGCACCCCGACTTCATGTTCCACCATGCAAAAAGGGTACACTCGAACCAAATTGGAGGAAAGCTAAATATATCGTCCCAGGGATCATATCAGTAGTTCTCCTAGTGGCCTCCGTATCTATCTTTCTACTACGCAGGAAAAGGAATGTGGAAGTTACAATAGAGGCTAGCTCATTGCTTCAACCTCTTTGGAGAAGAGTTTCACGCCTAGAACTTCTAAGGGTAACGAATGGATTTCACGAAAGCAACTTACTTGGAAGTGGAAGTTTTGGATCAGTATATAAAGGGACACTTTCATATGGAATAGATGTTGCAATAAAGGTTTTCAGTTTACAGCTAGAAGGGGCATTCAAAAGTTTTGATAGGGAATGTGAAATCCTAAGCAATATTCGTCATCGAAACCTTGTCAAAATCATCAGTTGTTGCAGTGAAATTGATTTCAAAGCCCTGGTATTGCAATACATGCCAAATGGGAGCCTCGAGAACTGGTTGTACTATCGAGGATATTCTTTGCATATCTTACAGAGGATGAACATAATGATAGATGTTGCTTCGGGATTGGAATACCTACACCAAGGTTATTCAATACCTATAGTCCATTGTGATTTGAAGCCGAGCAATATACTACTAGATGATGAAATGGTTGCACATGTTGCTGATTTTGGAATTGCAAAACTCTTGGATGGAGGAGATTCTATGACCCAAACCATGACCCTAGCCACAGTTGGGTATATGGCTCCAGGTGATGTAGTTGCTAGTTTAATATCTTTTAATCCTATACATGTTGTCCTTAATTATGAAGAACTTAACTTTATAATTTTCTTTTCATCATACATGTGTATACAATTCACACACATATACAAAAACAACTCAAATATATTTCATATTGCAGAGTATGGAATGGAAGGAATAGTTTCAAGAAGTGGGGATGTGTACAGTTTTGGAATTCTAGTGATGGAAACATTCACAAGAAGGAAGCCAACAGATGAAATGTTTGGTGAGGAAATGAATATAAAGCAATGGGTTGCAAACTCACTAGTATTACCAGATGCAAAGATAGATGAAGTTGTGGATGCCAATTTGCTTGGGATTGGGACAGAGCAGGAAGATGATGATCATGTGAGAAAGAGGGATTGCTTATCATCCATTATGCAATTAGCTCTTGCTTGCTGTGCAGAATCACCAGAAGAGAGGATGAATATGAAAGAAGCTGTAGCCACACTCAATAAAATCAAGATGAAGTTTTCCAGGGACGCCGCAAGAGGTGTGGTGTTAAACCGTCCTCTTGCTCATCGCTTCAATTAATGGATCCTATGACAATGACATATATTTCTTTCATGCACTTTGGTTGGATTCGATTCAATTTGAGTCTTAATTCATGTGGTTGTGTAATTGTATTTGAATTTTAAATACAATAATATATAGATGGAACAAGTCATCATAAAGAAATTCAAAGCTTCTTACATACTTGGTATGGCAGGGTCTGTTTGTTGTATTATGATATCCACACCACACGAGATGCATTATGATATCCACTACAAATATGACAATCCAATACCAAATACTACGTGAAACAGAAAGCGTTCCCGCCTACCATCTAAGACTTTAGAAAAGCTATGTGCAATAGACTTCAATGAAAGTACGAAGAACCATCCAGCCACAAAAGGACTTACTAGTCCATAAGCATGCTAGAAGCACAAAAACTACTCAAAACAACACTGTTCCAGCCCCAGATTGATTGAACCCCTTCAATGATGAATCAGCCGTTTCTCCCGAATTTTGCATCAGTCCATGCTTTGGCAATTGTTGCTTTCATGTCAGCAATATCCCCTTTGTTGTACATATTCTGCAAGTTGCATTGAATACAGCAGTAATTAAGCAAGCAAATATATGTTTATTCAATGTGATTGCATTCACATTTTCAAATGTGGATGTGCATGCATATACATGTCAACCTCAAAGCTTGGTAACCTTTACCTATGATTCCTGCGATGGGATCTCTCTCTTCATCCAGATTTGCCTGCAATATCAAACAATAAAACAAACTAATTCTACATAAAATGGGTGGTCCAATGATATGATGAAGTACCTTGTCCTCCTTAAACTTCAAATCCAACCAGTAATCCTTTCAAGATTTAGCCAAATTGATAAGAACCCTTTTAGGGTCAACTATCACCTTACACTTCTCTGGGACAATCTCCTTTTGCAGTTTAGGTATAGCCCATTTGTAATTCTTTCCTTGGACATCACGGAATTTGATGTCAAAGGACATAGGCTTAGTTTGGAAATATTGTGTATTATGGGTAGTAGTGCCTTGTTTTAAGAGAGCAAATAAACAAGAGAGAGATACATGTCGTAGCTTGTGGTTGGCTTAGTTTTGATGTTTAGCTTTGATTAACTGGTGTGCTATGGAATCCAAATGTCCTCTCAGGTGCTGCTATATAATGCTGATATTTTTCAATGTTTCAGTTATTGGAAAATAACATGGAATTAGTTCTTTGCTCTGTTTTTTTGTATTTTATATCTTGTGTTCCATTTATCATCTTAATGCTTGATGAAATTGTCTGGTCTCTTGTGTTCCTTCCCAAAGGCTTAAGATTATGAAATTGTCTGGTCTCTTGCCACATCAAAGTTGAAATTTAGTATTTAATAAATCCTTTCCCAAATCTTGTTGATGTAAAGGGGCGCAGATGATCACAATCTTCTTGTCCTCACGATTAAACATTTGAAGCAATTCAATCAACGAAGAAGAGGCCAAAATTTTGATAGAACTCACATATGAAAATATACCATAAACGCAATAACTAGTTTTGGGATAATGGACGGGAAGCACTCAGAAAATACACAACACTTACTTTGACCCATCCTTTGGTATAGATATGGAACAAGGACTTTGGCCCTTGTTTGCATTCTCATCTATCTATGTATCAATGCATGAGGCAGTTTTTTACATGATCAAGTATATTGAGCATCCGCAAAACTTGTAGCTCGAGTGGTTAAGAACATTCATTTATGCACCCAAGATCATAAGTTTGATTCTCCTCACTAATGTCACTTGTGTATGTTGATTAATCGTGTTCTCCATCCATTGACCATGAAAAATTAGAACTTATGCCTCGGCCTGAACCAGAAGAAAGAAATGCCAAGTTTGAGGAGCTCCTGACAGTAGAGCCTGATTAGGAGAAGTTTTCTTACGATTTGTTGCTGGAAAGGCTGCAGAAGGATATTCAGGTTCAGATATTCGATTCCTCGAAGACAAAAATTCACATATCAGAACTCACCACCACTGGCACTGAGTGAGATTGATCCATAATCACCACCACACCAGGTGGCAATCCAAGTCCTGCGCCACAAAAATCCACATATATATTTAAAAACAAATTCCATGGAGACCAGAAGATCCATAGACTTTGATTGAATAGGGCTTAAAAAGTTGTTGAACATACGTACCAAATCTCTGAGAGGATGAAAGCCAGAGACACAAGTGTGATGAGACAGTTGTTATCAATTAAATACCTTTGGCCAAAAATCTTGTGCATTAACCCCTTTCTCACTGAGAATTTGAAAACTCTGTTTCAGTCACTCTGTGTCTCTCAATGGCTGTGGACAAAGACAAGCTTGAAGAAGACGCTTCCATTGCCCGCTTCTACAAGATTGTTCTTAGTTGGGACTTTTTCGTCCGCGAAAAATCAACAGTAGTTTCTCTGTCCTTCAACTATCTCATGTACATACATATTATATATGTATATTATTTTTATATTAAATTGATGCAAATTTCAATTGTTTGGGGAGCAGAATAGCAAAGATGGTTTTGTAATGGCAAAAGTGAAAGACACCTACAAAGATGTTGACGATTATATCTCTACTTATGAACCCCTTCTTCTCGAAGAAGCCAAAGCTCAGATTATTCAAGATAAAGATAAATGTATTTATTTTTTCTTCTTCTTTCCTTTCTCTGTTTAGTTTTGAGAAAATTTGCTTCTCACTGGATGTTCTTTGTAATAACAATACACAGCAATCCATCACAACCATTGATGCAGCGCCACAAAGCACCATTCCAAATGAAGCCTCAAGATTGAATCGTACATGCCAGCATGCACCAAGCTAGCAAAGACCAAATATGACTCAACATATGCTCAGCATATTATCCTCCCAAACGGTTACCTTGGCTGGTCCTTATCTATTAGTCCCTTCTATTCTATTCTAGAATCCTGCGTTTGTGCATCACAATTTCATCAAAGCGTGTGTGCATCACAAGAATCCTGCGTTTTTTTT